TAACACTATATCAAATCTTATGTGACAGTAAGATCTTGGATAGTTCTTATAGTACGACTTAGTATAAGATTGCATGAACCACGATTTTTTGTACGATTTTTGCAAGATTTCGTATGATCAACAAGATCTTATGTCCGATTTTTTGACCTGGGTAGTTCTGACCGATTCCGGTCTCGGTTCCAATCGGTTCTGACCGGTTCCAGTCGGTTCCGGTTTCGGTTCCGACCGGTTCCTGTCGGTTCCGGTTTCGGTTTTTATCGGTTCCAACCGGTTCCGGCTCTTTGGAATGGGTAAAAACCGGAACCATGCATTCCTACACTGGCATTCACCTAAATTCAAAATTATAGAACTGAGTGCTTTTGCGAGTTAAAACATGGAGTGATATGAAATGCATCTACTTCCCACACTTTTTCGGACTTTCTCATCTTATTAACAAGTGCTTAAAATACTAATTATCAACAATACAATCGCATATGAATGCTCTTTTAGGATAACTTGGCTGCGTTAGCTTACACTCTATTTGGGCCTAACAATATGATCTGTCAGATATGCTACTGCAAAAACAGTAGTTTTGGTAATGTTCAGACTTTTCTTTCAATTAAATTGCTTTATCAATTTTGTAAAATGTGTCTAGAAAGAAAAGTCCGTTTGTTACGAAGTACGGCAAAGTTGAACTTGGTTTAGCAATTAGTCACGTTTTTTAAGGGATCTTTTCTGGAAAATGACAATTGAGAGGGAGTTTTGCGTTTTTCAAAGTATTGTTTTGCAAAAAACTCTGGTACTCCTACACTTCGTCCCCTACTTTTCGTCCCGTTACTTTCCGTCCCATACAATTTGTCCCAATTACATTGCGACCCCTTACAATTCGCCCTCTTACTATTCGTCCCATATTGTAACTATTCATTTACATTACAGCAATATTAAATAGAGTTCATTAAAATAAATTCAAGTGCTCATTTTCAAGTTGATAGCAATTTGAGTTAAATATTTCTCGATATTGCTGACATCATAAGACAGCGCGATTCTTTTCAATCGTGCATCAAAATTTGCATAAACTTTCCTTTTCTTTCTTTAGTTGTTCACCTGCACGGAGTTTTTCAATATCGATTTCAAATCTAGATTGTTCACGTAATATACATTTTGCAAGTTTAGTTATAGAAGGATGTTTAATTGAAACACCACTATTGAATGCATGATGCCATCCCTCGACAGCTTTATTGGATCTTGGTAAGTCTTGTGTAACTCGTTCATAAATATTCCATAATAGTAAACTATATTTTGGTTTACTGCGTTGACTACCTAAATTAGCGTTATAGACTATTAAATACATCAAACACATAAGTCTAAAATGATACAGACCTTTTCCCTTCTTTTTACCAACCCAAACTAGTTTGAAATAATCAACTAAGGAATAATTTTCATCATTAAAATCATTAATCATCGATGAATAAGCTTTAAGAACATCAGGAACAGGTACGAATGCAAGAGCCATAAGTTTTTTCACGTTCATTCTAAATTTATCATCATCGGTATACTTGTTTTGAAGACCTAATGACTCCATTTCTCGCCACAAACATTGTCCGAAGTGAAATAAGCAACCTATATTTATAGCGAAAGTAATTTTTCGCTGACACAAAATTTTGTATAAAAAATTAACAATTTGAATAGCATCTGGAAAAAATGATTTAGTCGATTTAAGTGTAGCACTTTCAAAATCAACTAAAATAGGTTCAGGTTCATGATCATACTTTAATAACAGTTGTTGAAAAAAATTATTATAATCATTTGTATCTTTTCCAATAAGTAAAACATATACAAGTGGAATAATTTGAAATGAATACATGCGATGAACAGTAAATAATTGATAATAACTTTTGGGACATATCTAAATAAGGCAATTTTATGAAAAGAAGCCAAGAAAAAGCAATATATACACTCAATGTCCCGTTCATTAACCAATGTTTACATTGATTTAAAACTGATAGATTTTTATCACATGTAAATATAACCATAGAATCATCTTCATATAAGACGAAGCTTTCATCACGATCAGTTTGACGTAATAATATAAGAGGTAAACGACCGTGATGATCAAGTTGTATAGCTAGTCGTCCACGATGAATTATTTGCAACAATGCATCATTTGTTGGTAAACCAGGAGTTGCTGTTAATGGAGTTGTACGTAATAAATCAAATGATATCGTACTGGCTCCTTCATCTGATGATGCACCACGAAGTTTAATTTCATTTTTAAGTCGAATGACGTGAAGTCGATCTGGATCAGATGCATGTGAATGGTCGGATGGTTCTTTAATTAATACTTGCATTTGAATATTTGTTTGACAACGACCAAAAGAATATAATATCAAGCACATTTGATACTAGATTTCACGATTTTTACTTACTTCTACAATCTCGATCTTCACAACGAAATATACGTTTTTCTTCTGTTATTCGATGTTGAGTATATAAAAATCCAGAAAAATAAATCATTGGATTTCCTCGAGAAGTCTTTAACACCTCAATTGTATTCATTTTTTAGGCTACTATGTAAATAGATTCGAGACGACAATAACTATTATTGAGAGTGATTAAATGACGAACAAAAAATTATTCTCGATAAATGTCCAGAACTGAGAAAGGACATATATGCATTATTCATTGGTCTTTTTAAGTCGTAATGATTCACTAGACATAATAATAAGATTAAGATGAAACGAAATCTATTTTTGAATAGCTTTGACTATAGAGATTGATCTTAGTACAATTATAAAATGAAATGTAGATGGGACGAAATAAATTTGGGACGAATTGTAAGGGGACAAAATGAAATTGGGACGAATTGTGTGGGACGAATAGTACGGGACGAAATGTCCCGTATCGAAGTGAGTGACCACCTCTTCAATGTCTATATCTAGATGTTCATAAAGCAGATCAGAACTTTAAATAGTTGCCAGGACATTCCAATCTAAGACAATTTATGATCTTTTTTTCATACGACTTGAATGCTTGATTCTTGAACATAACTTATATAAGCTTACATTCTAAATATTATCAAAGATAATAAGTAGATAAAAATGAGTTCGAAAATAACAAGCATATAGAAAACGATGTCTGAAAGAAACACCTCAAAAAGAAATATCGATAGATTTCTGAATGTAGAAAATGCTCCTATCAAACATCAATATGAATTTATTATTATCATTTTCGTAGAGCTTTTCACGGCACATTTTTAAAAACTATTCAATATTTTATCATTTACCTAAGTCATGATAGATGCAAAATGAAAATGTTTCAATCATTTTGGTACACTTGATAGTTGCCTTTATCAGTGGCTTTATCCAGCTATAATCAATTCTTATCTTTCTGCTAGAATTAAAGAAAGATATATGTAAGCTTAATAGTTGACAATGGCAACACCTAGTGACCTGTGAATTTTAGCGATTAGTAGAGGAGACTTTGAAAAGTCTTTTTATCTGATACTATACAAGACAAAATCATTTAAAAAAATCAGTTATCTCTACAAAATATACAAAAAGGATGCATGAAACAGGTGTAAGTGATCAGTGGCGTAGCCAGGAATTTTTGAGCAAGGAGCAGTTTCCCAGCGAAATTATTTTCAGGGGTGGGTGGGGTGTGGGTGTCGGTGTGTGGGTACGGGCTTAGGTGTAGGTATTGATCTTCGCTTCATCATACACGCCCACACCCACATCTGCATCCACACCCACACTCACACCTACAACCAACCCACACCCCACCATAGTCAAATACTATTTGCAAAAAGAGCCTGTTAGGTAGTGGTATATATGTATTCTTCGCTTCACTACCTTTGTTGTTCTCTTTCTTTCCTTTACTTATATGTTACATATTGTTCTTGCCCTTGAATGATTTCTTTCGTGCTCTTGCTTGGACTTTTCCTTTTCTATCTTTCACATATAAAAGATTTTCCTCTTTTTTTCGTTATTCATCATCTATGGAATTTTCCAACTCAAGGATCTTTCCCTTCGTTGTGCCTATATTTATAGTTGTCATCGAATTTAGAAAGGGATTAGAGAAGAATAAAGAGATAACAGATAAGTGCTAGAGTTAGACTTAACAGAGCCATTTGATTATTTTTCAAATTATCAGTTGATTAAATGAGACTCAACTCATTACGATATAAAGTGTGAGTGTGGGTATCGGTGCGCTGAAGAGATCATCCACGCTATTTTTCTTCTTCATTAGAAAAGACCAAATTGAGGAAAAATATATTAATCGTGAATATAAAAATTGTTAGTGTACTATAGTTGTATAGACTGTAGTAGTTTCTGTGGGTTAGTCCTATTCGTTGTTGCCATTTTAATCCTATAAATATAAGAACATCATTGTGACCACTATTTTTTACTGAAAATACTAACGTCTAATCCTTCTTTTAGCTTGAAACAGAATGATCAATGCTTTGGCGATCTAGAAGAAAACAAAGACAAAAGTCATACATTATTACAACTCTTTTGAAAACTAGGGATTTAAAAGACAAAACTTCTATGAAATGTTTTTCTGAATCTAAATCTTCTCGTTTTCGAAACTGTATCCTACTAGAAAACTTTTCGACGAGTTCTGTATACAAGATGTTTCACAAGTATAAAGTAAAGTTGACATCCCATCTGGCCAAGAATTCGGAGTTTTCTTTCCAGAAGTCGGGCAAATGTCGGAAAGAGCGCTGTGCAAAGATGCAGTATATTAAATAAATTTTACATGCACTAACTAAAAGGCATTTATTCGTTTCAAATCCTCGAANTGTGAAACATCTTGTATACAGAACTCGTCGAAAAGTTTTCTAGTAGGATACAGTTTCGAAAACGAGAAGATTTAGCGAAGTTAGCACACAAACTGTACAACCATTTTTAAGTTTCATAGATTTCCAACAAGCCATTAAAACGGTTTAGTAGTCCCGTACGATACTTAGCAATGGTTGTGAATTGATTTCAATTCTTGAAGTCACTTATAGCTTTCATATCGCACCTAGCAGAGGTGTGCACCGCCCGCGCTGCCGCGCCTTAATCATATTAGCTGTTAAAATTTTTTTTAAGTAAAACCAACCGTGATCTCTTTGAACGACGTCTATGTGTTTGTTGTGTTAAATTAAAAGTAAAAAAATGAAATGGCATCGACAGAATAGTTATTCTTAAGATAAAACAAAATTTCATTATTTCGATAATTAAAAACTATTAGCAGTAGAATTTTATGAAATTTAGTTTTCTCTTAAGAGTAATTATTCAGTTGATGCCATTTCGTGTTTTTACCTTTAATTTAACACAACAAACACATATCGTCGTTCAAAGATACCACAGTTGGCTTTGCGTTAAAAAAAATTTTAACAGCTAATATGATCAAGGCGCGGGCGATGCACATCTCTGGTACCTAGTTCTGTTTTCAATATACTCGTGTGCATTTAGTGAAAGAGAAATAAGTTGTTTATCTTCTTTTTAACTCAAGTTTAAAGTATATTCTATAGTAGATAGAAAATAACTAAAGTACTTAATATAAATGCGAATCTATCAAAGTTAAGAGTCCTTCAGCCCTTTTCAACTCCATCGTATCAAAGAATGGGGTTAGAATACAATCTGAGTACATTCGAGTTGAGTAGAGAATTAGGATGGAATTTTAGACAACAGGAGAGGAGTGTCGTGAGGTTTCCCATTTCTGACTTAAACCACTACTTTAGAGTATTAACATCATTCTAAGATTTTCCAAAATTCATTTTTTACGAAGATATCTACATTGCGTTGCAAATCGATGTGCGAACGCAGTGATTTCTTTCTTGTTATTGTTGCTATCATGTAGCATCATGTCTAACAAAAATAAAGAAGAGTAATAACGTTAATATAGAATCCCCACAATATATTGTTTAGATTTCCTTGAGAGAGTATCATTAATTAGATCGGCAATGGGACACCGGAACTGAATTTGTTTTCTGTTTTAGAAAGGTATTGTACGAAAAATCTAAAGAGTAGTTCTAATGACATGTATTCGTGGAGGTTGTCACCGTTTGAACATTTTAGAACCCGACAACCTTCTTAAATGCATAGAGAGGTTCTGAAACGTTACAGCATTTTGCAAGTCATTCTTGGCTGAACTTAACTTTCTGACAATGTCGTCTTCTTTGTATGAAAACGAAAGATCTGAGTTTAAACATAACCTTTTCTCACTATTATAGAACGCAATCATCAAAAATATGCTGATCTATTTTTGTTTATGTTATTTCCTTTAGAGACATTTTAAGAACAATATTAACACTAATGTAGCAATGTTGCATACAAGTTTATCACCTGTTGAGTTCAACTCATGTATACTAGGGAGACCCGGGAGACCAGTAGCTTGCTCAACAGCTCGAATAATTGCACGTTCGACAGTTTCAGCCGCCATAATACCAACGAGATTAACATCTGAGATAGGAGAAACTCCAGTAGCCAATGTGAAGATGACATCTCCATCAAACATTGTATGAATTGGATTGATTGCTCGAGCAAACCCATCATGAGCCATTTGTGAGACTTTTTTAGCTTGAGCTTTCGTGAGTTTGGCATCAGTCGCTACACAAGCAAGTGTTGTTGCAGTTGCAGCCAGAAAACTGCTGGCAATATTGGGATTGATGTCCAGTAAGGTATTTAGTGTGTTTTGCAAACGTTTACCATCCAAAGTTCGAGCACCCGCTATTAATGTTCCCCTTTTATACACATCCCCAACTGCATTAACGGCAACGAGTGCACCAACTGTGACTGTAGCATTTGTGATAGAATCTCGAACAGTCATCGAAGTACTACCGAGTCCCGTTTTCATGGCACGCTCCATGCCAAATAACTTTCCTATAGTAGCTCCACTGCCAGCACCAGCATTACCTTCGACGACAGGTGAGTTGTTAGCTGCCATACAAGCTGAGTAACCCAAGTTCGCATCAGGTACTATGGATGAATCATTACCAACACTCAGATCATACAATACGGCAGCTGGGACAATAGGAACTGGACGATCAGAGGTCGGAAAGCCCATGTTTTTTTCGGCAAGACATCGAACAACGCCGGATGCTGTATCTAGTCCAAACGCGCTACCGCCAGATAAAACAATAGCGTTAACCGTATCCACCAAATTCATTGGATCAAGAAGATCAGTCTCACGTGTGCCCGGAGCCGATCCACGAACATCGACGCCACCGATACATGACGTGTTACACAAAATGACAGTGCATCCAGTAGGACGTTCTGATTTCGAAGCGTGGCCAACAAGTATACCTTGTACATTTGTAATGGATCCATTAAGTGAAGCAATCTTGATTTGTTTATCACTGGCCGGAACTGAATGTTCAGCTTCACAAACTACTGTAAATAGAAATACAATTAGGTAGACTATTTGTATTAAGTCGACACTGATTCTTGACATGATTGAATAATCTACAATAAGAAAATTTCGATGGTAAACCGAAGATGACCAGGTCAAAGGTTTTTATGATTCAAGTGAAGTAAAATAGAACGTATATTCTCATTTAGCCATTCTTTATCTGAAGTATATGAAACTAAAGGATGTTCGAAAAGTTTGGACTCCTCTCAGTAAATAGAAGATATCTATGACACACCTATATCATCTCAAGCGACATATTGCTTTCTAGATATTTTTACTTGATTCAATAGACCTTGACAAGCTCTGCAAGAATATGAATGTTTAAATAACTTTTGATCTTATTCTCAATATAAAACTTGATGGAAACCAGAAAAACTAATAAAAATTTAATTTATCAAACTTTGAAGAGATTATGTTGAACTTTCAATAACTTTAGCAGCTTGATTGTTACCATCGGCGGCGGAACCATTAGGCTTCGGGAGGCTCAAGCCTCCCCTAAATTTGAATAATGAAGGTTTGGGGAGGCTGAACTTATTCTATTTTTCGGAAAGAATTTTAGACGTTATGATAAAAGGATCGAATAAATAAGTTCTTTCAAAAACAAAAGATGGAGGATCTGTGTCGTTTTCAGAAGCATCACGTAGTTGAACAAGGTATTTTAGTAACTAAGAGTCGTACAAAAATCTTCACTATTAATAAGATGTTTTTACTAGAATAGCTTTTTTCGAGAAAGCTAAAGTTTGATGTACTGAAACTCTAATAAGCTTCTTATAAACCGGAGCTATTATCATATAAACCGTAAAATTTAGGATTCGGACGTACACAGAAAAATTACGCAGTTGTCTTCGTTTGGTATAGCAAAATAGAAAAAAAGAGGGAAGAAATCAAATG